CCAGGCCTGCGATGCCTGGCGGCGCGCACCAAGGGGGCGGGACGAGGGGTGCGTTCTTCATGAGAAGGCAGGGGACCTCCTGGGACGGGTCGGGAGGCTTCTGAGAGGGCTCAGCCGAAGCCAGGAGGGCCTCTGAGAAACCTGCCTCCTGAGCCAGAGGGCAGAAGTAACAGAAGCATCAGCTTTGGGATGTCCGCGCGGACTTCTTGGATCGGCGCTGGAGGCGCCGCCAGAAGGGTCAGGCGCCGACCCAAAAAATGAGCCCAGATCTCCGAAAGTTTGCTCAGGATTTCGCAATAAAGATCGGCGGCGAGCGAGGGAGGGAAGTGAGAAGGAGAAGGCCTTCTCAGAAGGCTCGGACCTCCCCCAGCCTTCTGAAAAGTTGTTTAAGCCTTCCCCGAAGACACAGAAAACTTCTCAGAAGGCGCGAGGGCTTCTGAGAAGTCCCGCCGCCTTCTGAGAAGGCATTATCCTTCTCACTTCCCCCCCTCGCTCGATGCCGAATATAGAAGGGGTGGTCTGATTTGGGAGGGGGACTGATGTGCGCAGGCCACGCACCCCTCGTCCAACAACCGCCACCCCCTGCGCGCCGCCAAGCTGCGCGCCAGCGCCCAGCTCCGCCCCCGGCACCGCTGCGCGCGCGAGCCCGCCCAGGTAAGCACGGGCAGTGGGGGGGGGGCGGGGGGGATGCTCGCGCCGCGCCGATTGTGCGAGAGCGCATGGCCAGTTGCGCCCCGCCTGGCACGGGAGAAGCGGGTCCCGAGTTGGATGCTCCCTCTGGGGACCTTCCAGGAGACACTCGCTGCACTCGTGCGTCCGTCGATATAAGCCGACCTGGAGTCGAACCGGAGCCGAACCCGAGTCGAACCCGAGTCGACCTCGAGTCGACCTGGAGTCGAACGGGGGCCGAACTGGAGCCGAACAGATCCGTCAGGTGGGCCCCTCAAAAAAAGGCCCCCCAAACGAGCACCTCACGAGGGGGAAGCGGGCCCTGGGCCCTGGGGCCGACCTCCCCTCAGGACAAGGGGCTTCCTCCCGACGTCGTTGAAGGGGCCCTGGGACACACAAAAAAATACACACGAACGAAAGGACCCCCTATTTTTTCCATACCCTCTGGGGATATCGACGATTACTTGTGCCTGTGTGTTTTTCTCCTCCTGACGTCGTCCTCTCACGGCCCTGGGGCCCCCCTGGAGGGCCCCGGGGCCCCACGGCCACGGCGAATAAAAAAAAAACCTCGGGGCCCCGCCTTCCTCGGGACCTGCGCCCCCCCTCTGTGGCGCGCGAGGGACGCCCCCGCTCTCCTCCTCTTCCCCCCCCTCTCCCCCTCGCAGGCACCACGATCCTCCTCCTCCTCTCCTCCTCCTCTCCCCCCTCGCCCCCGTTCTCCTCCTCTCCCCCCCCCTCCCCCTCGGAGGCACCACGTTTGCTCTCCGTGGTGCTCGTTCAGGCCACTGCGCTGCAACCTCCCCCGTTTACGGGCCAACCCACATGGTTTGACCAGGCCTCTGTCTGTCCGTCCGTTCCCCCCCCATGGCGAGAACCACCGATCTCTGGGAAATCAACAGGCACCGGCACCGCTACTCCCTGGACCTCTCCCGCAGTGCGTCCAGACCAGGATTTCGAGGCGATTCCAACGGTGGCGACGAGGGCCTCCCAGGAGGGCGCCAAAGGGGCAGACAGGCGGAGGGTAGCAGCATGGGTTTAAAAGGCAGCTACTCATGGACAGCCTGAGAACCAAGGAAAACATGAAATTGCAAGAAAAATTGAGAGAGAACAAAAAAAAACACTCTGAAAGAAGTGGACAAGATGCCTCCGCTGCATAACCATGCTGGAAAGCTACCCATACCATGTAAGATGGGCAGCCTTCCAGCAGGGCGACCGCTGCGCCCCCGTGCAGGCACCAGCTGCTGGGCCGGTGCCGCCAGCTGCTCCAGCGACGGCGCGGGGCCCGGCGCCGGCAGCGCCAGCGGGGCCAGGGCGCTCTCCGCGGGCAGGAGCGGCACGGCGCCCTCCTCGGGCAGAGCCGCCAGCAGGTCGGGCGCCGGGTCGCCGCCCTCCGCGGGCCCCGCACCTGCAGCGGCGAGGGCGGGCCTGCCCGAGCAGGGCGGAGCCAGGGTGAGGTCGGGCGTGGCCCCTACAGGGAGGCTATGGAGGAAGAATAGACAAATACCCAGAACATAGTCCAAGAGTAGAGACAAAAAATGCTCAAATGATGTCCCCATACTACTATTTTTGAATATTCCTCCTGTAGGGCCAGCACGAGAATAAATCCGAGTGAGGATGAATCGGGAATCTCTGAGATCCGGCGGCTCTGCAGGATGTCTCGGGCGCTGCGGCGTTCCGGAACGCTGTGGGACGTATGTATCCCCGTCCTAGCCCCGCCCGACCCATATTCGGCGGCCAGCGAGCGGGGGGGGCAAGTGAGGAGGAGAAGGCCTTATCAAAGGCGGAGGGGCTTCTCAGAAGCCCTCGCGCCTTCTGGGAGGCTTTCTGTGTCCTCGGGGAAGGCTTAGAAAACTTCTCAGAAAGCTGGGGGACTTCCGAGCCTTCTGCGAAGGCCTTCACCCCCTCACTTCCTCCCCGGACTCGCCGTCGACCACCCCTCCCCGCCTCCCCTCCCCACGACGCTCACGTCCTGAACTGGTTCCGTACCCTGGGTTCTGGAGCTCTCGACCCCGGCATTCGCACGGCCTTCCCGCCGCACATCGCTTCGCGTGCGCCTCGAGGCACGAGAAATACACCTCCAGAACCTCCACCCAAAAAAATGCTGTCGCCAACGTTCGCATGGACTTCGCGCCGTACGTCACGTCTTGCGGATCCTGGAGCCAGATAGGGCTTCCCCATCCAAAGCTACAAAACGTGTTTACTCGTTCAAAGCCCCAAGCAATTCTTGGGACGCTCACTGTGAAGCGGCCCTGGGACACACAAATAAATACACACAAAAGACGCTACCCTGGAAAACCCGAGGGTTGGGGGAGAGCGCGGGGAGCGCTGCGCGTTGGGTAGGCACGCGCCCGCGGGGGGGGGCGAGCGGCGCACTCGTCGCTCGCCGCTCCCCGCGGGAGCGCGCGGGTGCAGCGACACCCCGCGCCCCACCCCAACCAAAGGAGCGGCGAAGGGTGAGGGGAAACAAAAGCCGCCACGGCGGCCCGCGACGCGCGCACCGAGGGCGCCAGCCTCGCGTTCGGCCGACAAGCGCCCTCGGGGCAGCGCGCGCGACGCGGGGGTATATTTACCCTCCCCCCACCGCAGGGAGACGTGGACAAAGAACACGAACAAGACGAGGAACACGAAGTCCATGAAGACCTGAGGCGAGCCACCCCAAACGCACCCCCCAACCGACCCAACCCGCCCCACCACAGGCACCGCGGCGAACCGCGGCGCCAGCGGCGGGGCGGCAGGGGTAGAAGGTTCCCAGGTCCGCGTTTTTGTGACAACGAACAAAACTGCGTTGTGTTCTCGCCCACAAAAGACGCTACCCTGGAAAACCCGAGGGTTGGGGGAGAGCGCGGGGAGCGCTGCGCGTTGGGTAGGCACGCGCCCGCGGGGGGGGGCGAGCGGCGCACTCGTCGCTCGCCGCTCCCCGCGGGAGCGCGCGGGTGCAGCGACACCCAAGGCCCTTGCTGCACCTGCGCGCGAGGAAAACCCAACGCTGTTCTCGCCGAAGGTGTTCTATAGGCTCACAGCCACCTCAGTCCTTGTCTTCGTCGCTGGACGAAGCGCCGCCGTGCGCTTCCCTGACGGCGCTGTCCTCAAGCGCATCCCTGTCTAAATATGACAGGAAGGCGGCGGACCGCCAATCTCCGGCGCGAAGGATGTCGGCCAGCCGCGAGCCACGCACCGCCATGTCTTGGGCGTGGCCCCGACGAAAATCGTGGGTGCGATAGGCATCGTGCCGCGGCACCCCGAGCTCTTGCAGGGCCGCTCTCAACGCCGATAGGACAGCGTCCGGGCGGAAACCCGCAAAAGGCTGCTGGGCCGCGCTGTCGGCGCAGAATTTCCCCAGCGCGTGCACGGGGCACGTTGATGGACAGCGCGCGCACCAGCACGTGCGCGTCATCGTGAGCGGCGTGGCGCGATTCTTGCGCCAAAGCAACGTCAGCGAGATCGAGCCGTCATGCAGGCGTAGGCAGCTCTTCGGCTCGACCGCCCGCGGCGGATCGCCGTCCCGAGCGACGTGCATCGGCAGTGCTTCCGACGGCAATCGCAACAGGAATATGTACGCCGTCAAGAAAAGCATCTGCAGCTCGCGCCCCGATTGGTGGCGTTCGAGATGCTTCAGTAATCTGGCGAGGAGCGCCTCCCGAATAAACATCTTGGGCCTGGCCTGCCAAGTGTTTCGCGCTTGCACCGCGCGAGCCGCGCGCTCGACTGCCGGGTCGCTCAGCGCGTCCAGCGGGACGCGCAACAGGATGCAGACTAATCTGACGTGCGAAATATAGTTGTCGAATGTTCCTTTACAACGGAAGCATGTGCTCCACAATGCAAGGCCCTCGGGCGACGGCGGAATCACTTCCCCCGCGTCGCAGCCGAGCACGGTCATGGCGAAAGTTGCCCAGCAGCGGAAGGCGCTGACTACGCTGGGCCACGTTTTCGGGCAGCTGCCCAGAATCGCGGCGACCCGAGCCGAATTCGACCATTCGCTGAAGCTTCGCTGGGCGAGGCCCTGCCGCAGGGCCTCGACTTCACGGCGGGGGCCCGCGCGCGGCTCGATGGTGCACTGGCGCGCTATGCTGACGGCCAGCTCAAGGTCCCGCACAGCACCGCAAGCCGCCGAAAGCTCATCGCACTTGGCAGCTCGCCGCCTGGCAGGGCGACTGCGGCTGCGGCACTCGCGCTGATGCACGTCGGGTGCAGGCGGAGGTTCGTCCTTTGCGCCGCGCACGACGGCAGATGGCTTCTTCGCTTCGTTAATTAACTCTGACAGCGCTACGCGCAGGGCGTCAGGGCTGACGCCTCGTTCCCCTTCTGCGGCAGACACCGGTTCGAACCAATCGACGCGCGCTAGCTGCAGATCTCTGAGATGCGTTATGTCCTGGCGCCGCAGCAACTCGATCAACGCAAAGGTAACCATGGGTGAAAGCTCTGGCAGGACGCCGCGGACCTCATGAAACAACGTCATGGCTTATCGCTCGACTGAGCGCCCGTCGCTGGCTGCGCTGGGACCGCGCGCTGACGCATAGGACAACCGACCAGGGGCCCATCGATGGGGCCGGTTAACGACGCAGCTTCCACTGTCGGCTTTTGGCATCAACTCGCGCGGGCCGCCCTCGCAAGGCACGCGCGAGGCATGGCTCGCAACGGGCTCGACGCGGGACAGCGGCTCACTCGCCTTCGTTGCTTCGTGCCGCCTTCGATGCGCAACGGCGCTCGCGGGGCGCGACGACGCGCGACGGCGCGCTCCCGCCGGCAGAGCGCGGGCCAGAAACGTCTCCGGTGCGAAGAACTCAGCCGCGCGTAAGCGCGGCGTCACGAAGTTCGCCCCAAGAACACGTAGCAACTCGTACTCCTCCCGCGACGGAAGGTCGGCGATGTTCTCTGCTGATGGGACCCGCGCAAACCACGGCGAACACCGGGTGCGTGCGATGAGGAACCACATGGCGTGAATGATGCGGGAGTGGTCCCAAGCGGAAGCGCGACCGCTCCGCACTGCCCCTTCTGCGCCCACATTGTCGGACCAAATCACCACTCGGCGGTCCGCCAGCAGTTCACTAAAGGTAGCTAATCCCAGCGCTATAGCGAGCAGTTCTAACGCCATAATCTGAGAGTCCCGGCGCGGCGCCAAGTCCTCCAGCAGCTCCTGGTCTGGAGGGGCGTCGGACCAGAAGGCGCGACCATCGACGAACAGCACGGCGGCGAGCCGTGGATCGGACCCGCCCCTTGCGTCAGCGAACAAGTGCACTTCTTGCCGTTCCAGCTGCGCCCACGGCTTGGACTGATGGATGCCGAGGGCCAGCACCTCCGCCCACCATGACAGCGCCAAGTTGAGCGGGGCGCGAACGACACCCCGTCGCGCATTCTGCTGCGCGAACAGGGGCTGCAACATCGCACGCCCTAGCCGCTCGAAGCAATGTTGACCTGCCCAGCTGAGAGCGCCGGCCAGCTTGCTGGCTTGGCCGGCACATAGTGTCCCGCAGTCGAGCGCTTGCTTGATCAAGAAAAGCCACTTGCGCACCTTCTTGGGCGCGGGAAACAAGTTGATCCCGCTGAGAGAAAAGGACACATGCAGGCCCAAAATCTCCAGCTCGTCGCCACATTCCAGCTTCTTCTCGGAAACCGCTCCTGGACCTAGGAGCAGGCGCACTAGTCTGGCCAGCGATGTGCGCACCGAGGGCGCCAGCCTCGCGTTCGGCCGACAAGCGCCCTCGGGGCAGCGCGCGCGACGCGGGGGTATATTTACCCTCCCCCCACCGCAGGGAGACGTGGACAAAGAACACGAACAAGACGAGGAACACGAAGTCCATGAAGACCTGAGACGAGCCACCCCAAACGCACCCCCCAACCGACCCAACCCGCCCCACCACAGGCACCGCGGCGAACCGCGGCGCCAGCGGCGGGGCGGCAGGGGTAGAAGGTTCCCAGGTCCGCGTTTTTGTGACAACGAACAAAACTGCGTTGTGTTCTCGCCCACAAATAAAAAGATTCCCCATATTTTCCCATATTTTCTGGGTTGCTGTCTTGCCCCCCACGTCCCATATTTTCCCATATTTTCTGGGGAATCGAGGATGAATTGTGTCTGTGTGTCTTTTCTTCTCCTGACACTGCTCGTCCTGGCCTGCCATCCCCCCGAGCCTTGTAGAGGAGGCTCGGCCCCTCCGGCCGCGACCGCTGGCAGCGTCGGGACATCGAGCGGCGGGAAGGCCTGGTCCAGGAGCGGAACCTCGCAAAGGGGGCCGGGAGTCTGGTGATGCAGGAGGGGAGCGGGGTATCGAGCGCCGAGGGATCTGGTCCAGAAGGGGGGCCTCGAGGGGGAGGCCGACATGCAAGAGGAGAACCGGGAAGGCAGCAGGGCATCGAGCGCCGAGGGCCTGGTCCAGGAAGGAAGTCTGGCAAAGGGATGCCAAAAAGCCAGGGGGGGGTAGGAAGGGAGTGGGGCATCAAGCGCAGGAAACCTGATCGCCAGAAGGCAAGCCAAACAGTTGGAGGGGTAAGAGGGGAGCGGGAATCGAGACGGCGGGACGAAGGGAGGTTCAGAATGGCGGGCCAATCATGGATAGCACTGTACTGGGGCAATCGACATGATGGGGCGTTCATGGGCGGGGAAATCAAGATGGTGGGGCAGCCAGGGATGTAAGGGGCAAGGGCTCGGGGAGAACCATTTAAGTCTTAAAGACTACGAATCCAACAGGGCGCGAAGGGCCAAGGCGGCTGGGGTTCCAACGGCCCTGCCCCAACCAGGTTCACAACGTCGCAAGCATTGTGAAAAGCCTTGGAGAAAACTGAAATCGACGTTGCTGTGACCAAAGTGTACCCCCACTGGCGCCCAAATCCCACCAGCCCTCTGGGCGTCGGTGGTTTAGGGCGTTTCCTCTTCCACCCCTCCCTCTTCCCCTTCGGGGAGGGGTTTACCCCTCCCCCTACCCCCTCCCCACTGACCTGGACAGGAGGGGCGGGGAGCGGTCAGAGCGTCCAAAACGGCCTCGGCGAGGAAGCCAAAATCATTGATTTTACTATGGTTTTGGCCCCATTTTGGCCTTCTGAGGGGGCAGCGCTAATTAGAGCTCCCCTCTTCTTTGATCGATTTCCTCCACGATGGCCGCAAGAGGCCCCCAGGATGCCCCAAGAGGCCGCAGGATGGCCCCAAGATGGCCCCAAGAGGCCCCCCAAGAGGCCCCCAGGAGGCCCCCAAGAGACCCCCAAGAGGCCCCAAGAGACCCCCCAGAGGCACCCAAGGTGCTCCCAGAGGCCTTTTTACTATGGTTTGGGCCCCATTTTGGCCTTCTGAGGGGGCAAAGATGGCCCCAAGAAGCGCCCAGGAGGCCCCCAAAGGCCCCAAGATGGCCTCAAGAGGCCCCAAGAGGCCCCAAGAGGCCCCCTGGAGGCCCCAAAGAGGATCCCGAACGGCCCACAGAGGCCCCCCCCGAGGCACCCAAGACGCCGAAAAGCCCCTCAGGACGACCCTCTACTCGCCTGGGCGTCGTTTCTGGACGGGCTGGTGGGGATACGCGAAGCGTCCTGAATTGTGGAACAGCGGCGGTCGTGCTTTTTCAGCATGCAAACAATATGGTAGGTCAGAAAGAGGAGGCCCCGCTCTGAGGAATGGCCCTTGTTCGCAGTCTCCTTGGTTGGTCAGGGCCCAACTACGACGACAACAGCTGCCGCTCGATACTTCCCCGCCATGTACTACCACGCGCCCTGCTCAGATGCGCCCGCGGCGCTCTCGCGCGAGACTCTCCCGCAACTCAGTCAAATTGGCAAACTACGACGACAGTTCCCTTTCGGTACTTCATCGCAGTTTACTCCGAAGCGCGTTGGCCAGAGACGCCCCCCTCCCGGGAACGGCGCTCTCGCCAGACTTCCTTGCCGTTCACGCAAACTGCTAAAGGCCCAACTACGGCGACAACGGCTCTCGTTCGACACTTCTCTGCTATTTATTCCGAGGCGCCCTGGCCAGGGAGGTCCCCTAATTCAGGAACGGCGCTCTCGGCCGAGACTTCATCGGAAGTCATTCAACTTGGTGAAGGCCCACTACGACGACAACGGCTCCAGTTCGATATGTCCTCCTGATTTACTCGCGCGCGCCCTGGTCATATGAGTTCTCACCATCAGGAAAGGCACTTTTACCCGAGGTCCTCCCAAGGCATCCTGGTGGATGAAAGCCCAGCTACGACGACAACTAGGAGGAGCCTACAAAGGGACGTACGCGCCCAGCTATGGACGTGAGCACTGCCCCTCAACCCGCGAGACTGGCCGCGTGATACGAACATTCGCGCAATGCGCACTCTCGAAACCGGCGTGTATTCACGTACCGTCGGGTCCTCCTTTCGCTCCTGAACAGCCGCTCCCGCTCGACAGCTCCTCACCGACTGCTCTGGGACGCCCTGGGGGCCCCTGGACCCAAAAACGGCGCTGCCCCCGAGACGTCCTCGCCCTTCGCTCAGGCCGACGCGCTGCCCGCGGGCGCGACAGCTCGCACAACGGCCCGGGCGGCGCGGCGAGCGCACGCAGAGTGCACCGCGGAGTGCTCCTCGCAGGAGCTGGCAGAGGGAGCAGTTCCCCCGGAAGGGTGTCGGCTCCTAGACTTCGCGGGCGGGCACCAGGGGGAGAGGGGAGAGACAAATGGAAACAGATGAAGGGGAACTGGGACACACAAATAAATATACACAAATAAAAGGATTCCCCATATTTTCCAATATTTCCTGGGTTTCTGTCTTCCCCCCCACTTCCCATACTTTCCCATATTTTCCGGGGAATCGACGATCAATTGTGTCTGTGTGTTTCTTCCCCTCCTGAAGGGTGTCGGCTCCTAGACTTCGCGGGCGGGCACGGGGGGGAGAGGGGAGAGACAGATGGAAACAGAGCAGTCAGATCATACGGTGGAGGTCAGTCCACAAGAGACCCTCCAGGAGAGACCCAGCCCCGAGACGCCAGGACGTCCATCGACTTTTGGTGCGGGCACGTCGCGCTGTCCACAGCAAAACCGTCGAAACCCAAGAAACCCAGGGCAACCTGGAGGCAAGCAGGGGGTTTCTTGGCATGGGCCCCCACTGTACGAGGGCGAGGCAGAAACAACTGGAAATAAATCAGTTAGATCAGATGGTCACAAAATGGTCGTCGTCGTCGTCGTCGTCGTCGTCGTCGTCGTTTGCCGGCGCCACTGCGAGGTGGGGGTCCTCGTCGTCGTTTGCAGGCGCAAGCAGAGGGAGTGTCATCGTCGTCGCCGTTTTCTGGCGCCACGGGGGGGTCGTCGTCGTCATCGTCGTCGTCGTCATCGTCGTCGTCGTCGTCATCGCCGTCGTCGTCGCCATCGTCGTCGTCATCGCCGTCGCCGGCGCCGTCGCCGTCGCCATCGCGATCACCATCGCCGTCGCCATCGCGATCACCGTCGACGTCGACGTCGTCGCCGTCGCCGTCGCCGTCGCCGTCGCAGTTGCTGTCGCCGTCGCCGGCGCCGTCGCCATCGTCACCGTCGTTTGATGCCACTAAGGAGGCGTCATCGTCGTCGTCGTCGTTTGCTGGCGCCAGATGTGAGGGTGGTCATCGTCGTCGTAGCCGTCGTTTGCCAGCGCCAAGAGGGGCCCAAGAGGGGGAACACAAACGGACACTTCGAGCCTGCTGCTGCAAGATAGCACCAAGAGCCCTCCAGGCCCTCAAGAAGAACCCCAGAAGCCACCAAGACCCCATCCAAGAGTCCCCGAGGGTTCCCCCGAGTCATCACAAGAGGCCCTCAGATGCATCCAAGAGGACTCTACGCCACAGCCCAGGCACGGTGGCGGGGTTGGCCGAATGGCATTAGATATGTAAGCTCCAACCACCACCACCACCACCACTACTACAACCACCACTACCACCACAATCATCATCATCATCATCATCATCATCATCATCATCATCATCATCATCATCAGCAGCAGCAGCAGCAGCAGCAGCATCATCATCATCATCATCATCCTCATCCTCATCCTCATCCTCATCCTCATCCTCATCCTCATCATCCTCATCATCATCATCATCAGCATCAGCATCAGCATCAGCATCAGAATCCTCATCCTCATCCTCATCATCAGCATCGTCATCGTCGTCATCATCATCAGCATCAGCATCAGCATCAGCAGCATCAGCATCAGCATCATCATCACCACCATCATCATCATAATCAGCATCATCATCATCACCACCACCACCAGCATCCACCACCAGCGTTATCATCATCATCATCAGCAGCATCAGCATCAGCATCACCATCACCATCAGCATCTGCATCAGCATCAGCATCATCATCGTCAGCATCAGCAGCATTTCGCCATCATAATCAGCTTCACCACCATCATCATCATCATCATCATCATCATCATCATCATCATCATCAGCAGCACCATCATCATCAGCAGCAGCCTCAGCACCACCATCATCACCAGAATCGTCATAATCGGCAGCAGCATCATCATCAAGATCGGCATCATCATCATCGTCATCATCACTACCACCACCACATCTACCACTATCAGCATCATCAGCATAGTCATCATCGTCGTCGTCAACACCACCACCATCATCATCACCCTGATCAGCATGATTATCCTTATCACCACCCTTATCATCATTATAATCAGCATCATCATAAGCATCAACATCATCATCAACATCATCACCACCCTCATGGTCAGCATCACCTTCATAGCCGTCATCTTTACCCCAAGCAAACCACCACCATCATCATCATCATCAGCAGCAGCAGCATCATCACCACCATCATCGGCATTATCAGCGACATCATCGTTATCGTCAAAGCCATCACCATCATCACCATCATCATCATCACCAACACCCCCATCGCCCCCATGCCCCTCCTCCCCCTCCCCCCCCCTTATTCTCTTCCTCCTCCTCCTCCTCCTCCTCCTCCTGCTCCTGCTCCTCCTCCCCCTCCTCCTCCTCCTCTCCTCCTCCTCCCCCTCCTCCCTCTTACCCCTCCTCCTCCTCCCCCTCTCCCTCCCCTCTCCCCACCCTCCTCATCCTCCTCCTCCTCCTCCTCCTGCGCCTCCTCCTCTTCCTCCTCCTCCTCTTCTGACTCTTCTTTTCTTCGTATTACGAGGTTTCTTCTCACGAGTATTGAGATTACGATGAATGTCATCGATAGAAAATATTAACACCAGTGTTCGCATCAATAATATTGTCATTGTTAGTGGTACCATTTCTCTCATTAGTATTAGTAATACTTTGACAATTGTTAGTATCCTCCTCCTTCTCCTCCTCCTCCTCCTCCTCCTCCTCCTCCCATCCGTACCTGCTGCTCCTCTCCTCCTCCTCCTCCTCTTCCTCCTCCTCCCCTCCTCCTCCTCCCTCCTCCTCCTCTCCACCCTTCCTCCTCCTCCTCCTCCTCCTCCTCCTCCTCCTCCTCCTCCTCCTCCTCCTCCGCCTCCGCCTCCGCCTCCGCCTCCTCCTCCTCCTGCTCCTCCTCCTCCTCCTCGATATTTCCCTGCCTCGACGCTCGACCACCCCGCACCCCCCGTTTCCACGGGCGCCTGCTCCAGGAGGGGCTGCGCGGCCAGCAGGGACGCCTCGCCCTCCCCCTCGGCGGCGGGCGGGGCCTCGAGGCGCAGGAGCGCGCCCTCCTCGAGCGGCGCCTGCGGGCTGCAGAGGCTTCGCGGACCCTGGAAACGACAGGGTCGTCTTCGACATTGGGCGCGCGTCCGACACCCAAAGTACTGAAAAACTCGTCACCCGACTATTTTTGCTAGTCTTGAGTATTCCTCCTGTAGAGGGACGTGTCCGACTTCAGGATAAACTCCTGTCGTCGATGTGCCAGGTACGCTCAGGACAGATGGGTCGGCTTTCAGTCGAGCTGGTGAGCGTTTTCTTATTCGGTGTTTCGACATTGGGCGGGGGGGGGAAGGGGGGGGTCTGGCTCCGGACCTCTGCTGAATGCGACTGCTTGCAACAGTGCGTCCAGGGGGGGAGACTCCACCTGCATGAAGCAGGCGCCAAAAACCGCCAAGATCTGCTCCATGAGGGGGGGGAGGGGGCGCGAGAGCCCGCGCCGATCGGCAAAACAATAAATAACAAACGATCCCTTAATGGTTCCGTTTTGCCGTTTGCGTGCCGGTTCTGTCACCGTTCTCGCTGCTGGCTTCGTGGCCGCCTTGTTTCCAGCTCGAGCTCCTGCCCCTGCTCCAATCTCTCGGGAGCGGCCAAGAGGGGGGTGTCCAAGAGGGGGGGGTGCAAATCATGACCGGCGACATGTGCGCGGCCCAGCGGGGGGGCCAGGGACGTAATGAAATAAGAAGAGGCGCCACACGAAATCTGGGGAAATATCATGGCCCCCGCCATGATATCCCCCCCCCCCATAGTCATCACCCCCCTCTTCGCCGCCCCCGAATCTCCTGGAGCCGTCTCCTGGCCGATTCTCCGGTCGCTGTCTCTGTGGCCGCTCCCGCTCGCGAGAGGCACTCCGCCGGCAGCGACGAAAGAACGGCCCCGCCGCTCCCAGGGCCCACGAGGGGCAGAGGGGCAGTGCGACGACACCTGCACGCGTCCACCCAGGGGGAGAATCGACGATCAGAGCGTGAATTACCTACCCCGCTTTCGCTTCCAGGCAAAACCAAGCCATACCACGCGCCTCCTCGTCAAGCGGCCTGATCAGTACAGGCTGCAATTTGGCATCTCTCTTGGAAGCGAGGGTGGTCAAAAGCGAGGGAGGTTTGTTTCCCCCCTAGACGAGTCGGAGCGGCGATCCACATGGATCGGATCGGCGGACAGGTCGGCAGCCAGGCCGGGGAGAAGCCGAATCGGGGGAGGATCGGCAGGCTGGTGAGGCCTCCATAGAGAAGCCGAGACCCGAATCGGAGTCCGAGGTCGGATCGGAATCGGAGTCGGAATCGGTCAAAGTCGAGTCGAGTCGGAGGCGTCGAAGTGACCCCTGTCCGCAGCCCGTGGCCAGGCTAGTCCTGGGCCTGGGGGCAGTGCAGATGCCCCCCTGGCCCGGAGCGGTGGGTGTGTGCATAGGTTTCGTCACCGAAAGCGACGCGCACGAGGATCGAAGGATCGAGGGATCGGGGAGAAGGGGGGAACGGGGGTCGAGGATCAAAGTTCTGCCGAAGGGCCCAGGGTCGAGAATCGGGGATCGAGGAGCGAGGAACGAGGGTCGAGGATCGAGGGTCGAGGATCGGATATAGAGGAGCGAGGAGACCAAGGAACGCTGGAGGGGACGCGCCAGAGGATGCGCCAGAGGATGCGCCAGAGGACGTACTCGGGAGAATTCTCGAAGACTCTCAGAATTACCTCCGTGCGCACCCTGCGGTTCATTGCAATTGCGACTCGGGTATTCTGGCGGGTGGGATGTGTGACTTTCCCGTTGGAGAGCTCTTGAAAATCAGTGAAGGATCAGACGGTTTCCTCTGGCGGGTGGGCTCATTCCAAGTCCCCATGGAATTCTAATGCATTGCAGGCAAATGCTTCCTGGGGTAAAGTGCAACTCTCCCGGACAACTCTCCAGTTCGGCACTGCGCGTTCCAACTCTGATAGCGTGCCCCTTCGGCGGGGGGGGCCCGAACGAGGGGGGGCCACCGAGGAGTCCACGCGAAAAGCCCGCCATTGCAATCCAACAGTCGATGTTACCGAGCACTGCGGGCTGCATCGGAAAACGCAACCCGCGCCGTGCGGCCGACTGGTCTGTGCGCAGCAAGCTGGGGCAATCACCCAGCACTGATCCTCAAGGGCCGCTGCGTCGAAGTCTGCCGACTGCGCGCCTGGAGGCTGGTCGGTGAATCCCGCCAGCCCTCTGGTCGTGAGTGTTGTGGGGTGCACCAGAGCACGACCAGGGGAACAAGAGATGACATAAACATAAAGACGCGGAGGTCCGCGCGGATGTCTTGGATCCTCGCGGGACCCCCCTCCCTGGCGCGCGGAGCGCGCCAGGGGCGGCGCCGTCCAGCGCGGATCCGAAAAATCCGCGCGGACCTGCGAGTCTTTATGTTTATGTCATTCTTCGTTCCCCTGAAGACGCCAGAGGACGCTTGGCACCGAATGCTGCGTGTCCCACCAGGCACGCGGCAGGCTCAGGTTGGGCATGTCCCCTTGCAGGAGGATTTGGGGCGAAAAATTGAGAAAATACCCCAAACATGCCCCAAAACAGCCCAGAAATGCTCAAAAAATCGTGCCCAGACTATTTTTCAAACTATTTTGAGTTTTCCTCCTGTAGAAGGACAGGCCCGACTTGACCGCAGGCCGCTGCCGGGCGCTTCCTCCGACTTGCCGCCTGTGGCACTTGCATACCGGTCGCCTCGTCGCTCCGGTCTGCGCCCTCTGCCCTGCCATCGCTCGGACGCCCACTCGCCGTGCACGTTCCGACTTCGTGCGAGCACTTGAGGGAGGAGGGAGGGAGGGAGGAGGGAGGAGGGAGGAGAGAGGGAGGGGGAGGGAGGGAGGGAGGGGAGGGAGGGAGGGGAGGGAGGGAGAGAGGGAGGGAGGAGGGGGAGGAGGAGGAGGAGGAGGAGGAGGAGGAGGAGGAGGAGGAGGAGGAGGAGGAGGAGGAGGGTGAGGGAGGAGGGCGAAGGAGGAGGAGGAGGAGGAGGAGGATCCAAGGTGCTCCTCGATGGCCCTCGGCCCTCGCGATGCCGAGCCGTGAGGGCTGGAGCGCCGGCCGACCCCGTGAACGGCACCTGAGCCTGAACGCAGGCAGAAATTAGGTCGGGCCTGTCCCCCTACAGACGGATTTCGCACGAACAATAAAAGATACTCCACAAAAAACTTCTAAATGGGGTCCAAAATAGTGTGTGTGTATATATATTATAATACTAATAAGAATTGCTTTCCTTGATATAATAATAATGATAATAATAATAAGAATAATAATAATAATAATCGTAATAATAATAGTAATGATAATAGTAATAATAATAGTAATAATAATAGTAATAATAACAATAATAATAAGAAGAAGAATAAGAATAATAATAATAATAATAATAGTATTAATAATAAGAAGAAGAAGAAAAAGAAGAGTGATGTTTAAATATACGAGATAACCAAAAAAAACGTTCCCAGACTATGGTTGTACTATGTTTGAATTTTCCGTCTGTAGAGGGACGTGCCCGACTTAAGGCTGAACCGAGGGCGCCTCGCTTCGCGCAGATTCGCGCTGCGCGACGCGCGGCCTGCAGACAGCTTCGCGCTCTCGCGCAGCCCCCCCCCCGAAAGGAAGCTCGGAGCCGAACCGCGAAAAGCGCGAAGTGAGCGAATGCTGCTTCGCGCCCCCGAGAGGGTGCCCTGGCAGAACAGAAGGTGTTCTAAAACACAGAATGCTAGACATGATAGGCCCCGCCCACCCTCGCCCGCCCACCCTCGTCTTCCTCGGCCTCGAAGAAGAAGAAACTGCATAAACATAAACTGTTGGCGCTCGGCGCCGATTTCTTGGATCCGCGTCGGACACCCCCCCCTGTCGCGCGGAGAGCGCCAGGGGCGGCGCCGGAGGCGCCGCCGAGGAGGCCCCGGCGCGGATCTGAGAAATCCACGCGGGGCACCAAAGTTTATGCTTATGGCGTTTCTTCTTCTTCGACTTGCAGCGTAATTACCAAGTCGGCGGAGGAGGAGGAGGAGGAGGAGTCAATGAGGAAGAGGACGAGAATGAAGAGGAGAGGCGATGAGGAGGCGAAGGAGGTAGGCTAGCAGAGGCGAGGAAGGAGGCGCCCCCCACTCCCCCCTCGCGAGGAAGAGCGGCCGTCGCGCGGGGAGGCGCCCCCCCCCCCCTTTCCGCCGCGCCGCGGCCGCGCACCCCGCCGTCCTCCAGAGCGCTCGCTCCTCCGCCCCGCCCGCGGATCGCCCCAGCCGATCGCTTTAGGTCGGGCATGTCTTACTACAGGCGGATTTTGGAAGAAAAACAAAAAGTAGACAAAAAAAGCTCGAAAATGGTCCAAGAATAATTGAAAATCGTCCCCATAATACTTGTGGACTGTTTTGGGGTATTCCTCCTGTAGACGGACATGCCCGACTTAACGATCGCCGCTCACTTCAGCTTCTTCTTCGGGCGCAGGTAGTTCGTGTGGCCGCACTTCTTCTTGCGGCAATTCACGGCGCGCGCCGGAAGGCGCGCGTAGCACTTCCGGCAGATCATCTTGTCGCAGTTGTACTTGCGCGCCAGCACCGCCAGCGACGGCTCGATCACCCCCCCGCGGAGGCGCAGGACCAGGTGGAGCGTGGACTCCTTCTGGACGTTGTATGTATGTGTATACATCTACATATGCAAATACCACTACATATACATATATAAACATATGCATATGCAAATAAATATGCATGTGTATATACAGTTAGATATTCATACGTATATGCATATACATACACATGCACATATAAAAATACGCAAAACAAATGCAACTATGTATACATACGCATGAACGTACGCAGCATGCATATACACATAAATCTGAAAATACGTATATACATGTATGAACATATACATAACCATATGCATATGCATAAACGTATACATGTACATACACCTATGCATATACCGCTACATCTACATATACATATACCTAATCATGCACACACCTGTACACATACATATGCATATACATATACATATGCATATACATATGCATACACCTATACATATCATACAAATACCGTATACATATACACGCGCATAGACATATGTATATATATGTGTACATCGAGCAAACAGATATGAGCATATGCACGTACATAGTCATATGCATACATATCTACACATACGTATACAGATATCTCGATATATACAAATACATATAATATATCTATCTATGAATGTATATATACACATGTTTGTGTCCATATACATGTATATAGGCGTACCTATATATATATATATATATATATATATATATACACACCGCCCTCTGTGCCCAGACCTGAGCATGGGGCACTCCTCTGGGAGAGGAGGGAGGGGAGGGAAGGAGGGAGGGGAGGCACCAGGTGGAGCGTGGACTCCTTCTGGATGTTGTAGTCGCTGAGGGTGCGGCCGTCCTCCAGCTGCTTGCCAGCGAAGATGAGGCGCTGCTGGTCGGGGGGGATGCCCTCCTTGTCCTGAATCTTGGCCTTGACGTTGTCGATCGTGTCCGATGCCTCCACGTCGAGCGTGATCGTACGGACCCTGAGCTCCTCAAGTTAAGCGATCTTGCCCCCGAGCGACACCATGGCGACCTGGGAAGCCAGAATTACTGAACTAAATGAGCTCGGCGCGTGAGCAGGCCGACATCATTCAGATCGGCAATCTTGGTCCCCCAGGTCGCCATGGTGACGCTCAGGGGCCAAACAGCTGAATTGGAGGAACTCAGGGTCCTTAGTCGGAGGACGCCCACCACTGTCCACCTCACCGATGCTTGCCAGGCTAATTCTGGGCCCAGAGGGGCCTGGCCAGGATCGGCGAAGCGGATCCCAGACCCCCGACATCGTGATCTTCTCGCAACGAAGAAACCCAGAGGTCTGGACCCTTCCCCCGGGCTGGTTTTTCGAATCGTTTCCTGATGGCCCAAGGGCCCGGCGAGTGCCCCCTGAGGTTAGATCGGGCATGTTCTCCTACAGGCGGATCTTGGAAGAGAAATGATCAGTAGTCCAAAACATGTTCTTCGAAAATACCTCAGAATAGTCGAAGAATCGTCCCCACAGCAGTCTTGGGCCACTCGCCAAATGTCCTCCTGCGGAGGGACATGCCCGACTTGACCCCGAGGCCGAGAGCGGCCAAAAGCCCTCCGTCGCGGTGTGCTCTCACGATGCGAGAGAGGGGGAGGAGGGAGGAGGGAGGAGGGAGGAGGGAGGAGGGAGGAGGTAGGAGGGAGGAGGGAGGAGGTAGGAGGGAGGAGGGAGGAGGTAGGAGGAGGGAGGAGGGAGGAGGGAGGGAGGAGAGGGGGCCCTGGGACGGCGGAGGCCCCTCCGACGTGGCTCGTCTTCCCCGTCAGCGTCTTCACGAAGATCTGCATGGCCGGGACGCCGCGGACAGAGGACAGGCGGCGAGCGAGGGGGGAGACGCGAGAAGGGGCGGTAGGGGGCCACATGCGAACCCTACCCCTACCCCCCACGACTTCTGAGGGGGAGGGTGGGGTTCACTTCGCTCGGGAGCTCCCGAGCGAAGCGAACCCCACCCTCACCCTCAGAAATCGTGGGGGGCAGGGGTAGGGTTCGCATGTGGCCACCTAGGCGGGCCTTCTCAGAAGGCCCGGAAGTCCCCAAGCCTCCTAAGAGGTTTCCCAAGCCTTCCCCGAAAGCAGAGAACACTTCTCGTAAGGCGCGCGAGGCCTTCCGAGAGAAGTCCCGCCGCCTTCCGAGGAGGCCTCCTCCTTCTCGCTTCCCCCCCTCGCTCGCCGCCGAGAAGAAAGAGAAACGCCAGGAAAACACAGGCTTTTGACGCTCCGCGCGGATCTCTCGGATCTGCGCCCGACCCCCCTCCCTGGCGCGCCTCCGGCGCCAAGGGCGGCGCCGGAGGCACCGGGGGGGGCTTTAGGTCAGGCATGTCCCCGTACAGGCGGATTTTCGAAGAAAAATCAGAAAGACGCCAAAATTGTTCAACACTGACCAGAAATAAACCACAAAAATTCTCCCCAGGCGATGTCCTAACAATTTTTGGATACTCACCCAAGAAGTCCGCGCGGAGCGCCAAAGGCTTATGCTTCTGGCGCGCTTCCCTCTTCAGGCAGGGCAAGCTGCGAGAGGGGCGGGGGGGCGGGCAGGGCCGCGGTGGGCGGGTCACCGCCACGGGAGGTCGCCACGTCCTCCGGGGCCTCGAGGCTCCCCCCCGTCTCCCCTTTTTCTGTGTGGTGTTCCAGCCGGCTGCGGCCTGGACCGCCAGAGAGTGTCGGGCGCCATGAAGGAGCACTGGAGCCTGCGGGTTTTCGCGCCTCGGGCCCCCGGAGGCGGTGCTCGTGCGACACTGCTTCGAGACCCTCCTGGGTGCTCGAACTCGTCTTCTCGAGATGTGGTCCTGAAGTACGATGGGGCAACATCACAACCGAGGGGGCATCGTGACACACAAATAAGTAGACACTAGTAACAGGATTACCCATACCATCTTTTCTGGGGAATCGACGATTCATTGAGTCTGTGTGTTTTCTTCCCTCCGGAGTAACCCTCCCCCGCCCCAGCTGTCCCGCCATCGCTCGGACCTCAACTCCCTGTGCTCTCTCCGCGGCGTCGTGCGCTCACTGCTTGCCTGCACGACGGCCCTCGCCGCGAAAAAAAAAAGGCACGCGCCCGAGCGGTGCCGAGGCCTGCCTGCGTGGGGCGAGCGGGCGCGCCGTGGCCGCAGCGTCCGCCCACCCCCCCCCCGCCCTCTCCGCTCGGCGGCGAGGGAGGGGGGGGGGAAGCGAGAAGGCCCCGCTGCCCCCCCCCCCCGGGAAGGAGGGAGGGCGGGCGGGAGGGAGGGGGGAAGGGAGGAGGGAGGGGGAGGAGCAGGGAAGGGAGGGGAGGAGGGAGGGAGGGGAGGGGGGAAGAGAGGGGAGAAGAAGGCCTCCGCAGACGGCTCGGAGGAGTCCCCCGGCCCTCGGGGAGGCTTCCGGAGCCGTCCCCGAAGGCGGCGGCAGAAGCTTCTCGGAGGGCGCGGGGGCCTCGGAGTCCCGCCGCCTTCTGGGGAGGCCTTCTCTCAGGTCGGGCATGTCCCCCTTGCAGGGGGGATTTTGGACGAAAAGGAAAATCTAAAAACAAAAAACAAAAAAAAACAAATAAAACAAACAAACAACAATAAAACAAGTAGCAAAAAAGGTCAAACATAGTGCCCAGACGAGCTGACTGTGTTTGAAGACTCCTCCTGTGGAGGGGCAGGCCCGACTTAAGCCTTCTCCTTGCTCGCTCCCCCCCCCCTCGCTCGCCGCCGCTCTGCCTCGATCCTCGACTGCCACCAGCGGGGAGAGACGCGAGGCTCGGGCACGGGGGAGTCGGGCTGGCCTGATGGGGCAATCCTAAACATTGCGAGGCCCAGTATGAACTTTGGCGCGAGCTCCCGCTGCAGACACCCCACAACAAAAAAACCTGGGCCGTCCGAAAATCCAGGACGCGCTCCGCTCGTCAGAAAACGTCGGCAGACCCGGGTTCCGGCTTACGCGAGTCTTATTCAGAAGCCAGGCGAAGGCTGGCAAACCCGTGGCTGCTAAAACGGAGCTCCGGGAAATGACTTGTTCCTTCCGGGAAGCAGACCGTTTTCTATTCAGCGCGCTGTGTTTATTCCAGGAGTTCGTCTTTTTCTTCCAGGAAGACCGTTCTCGCAGCCACGGATTTGCCGGCCCTCGCCCGGCTTCCGACTCACGTTTCCCCGATTCTTTCCTCGTCGATCGAAGCCTGCCAACCTCGGCATCGACAAGAGCCCGGCGTCGGAGGTCCGGCGCCCACACAGCCGGCCCGCACCACAAGGGTGCGCCGATGAGCTCCAGCTTACGCGAGCCTTACGCTCCCCCGACACGAGGGGGCGGCGACCCCGCAGCGGTGACGCCCCCAGGCGGTGCCCGAGGGGAGCGGAGGCCCCGCGCACAGCGCGGCGGGCGGCGCCGACGCCCCGCGGGGCGCGCCGAGGAGCCGGGCCGGCCACGGGCCGGGATGGGCTGCTGCGGGGGGCGGAGAGGCCGGCCCGCTGGGACGACGCCTGGACAGGCTGCCTCGTGTCTCGGGGGCTCCAAGGCAAGCAGGGGGAGGAGGAGGAGGGGGAGGAGGAAGGGGAGGAGGAGGAGGAGGAGGAGGAGGAGGAGGAGGAGGAGGGAGGAGGGAGGAGGAGGAGGAGGAGGAGGAGGAGGAGGAGGAGGAGGAGGAGGAGGAGGAGGAGGAGGGGGAGGAGGAGGGAGGAGAGACGAGGAGAGCCTCGGGCCAAGAAACCCGCGGCAGCGTGCCAGCCCCGAGGCCAGCCTCGAGTGTAAAACCGTCCAGTTACCATCCACTGTTACATCCATTGCCAAACCATATCTTTTCTACAGTCATTTTCGACGACATCGTCTTCCCCTCAGGACGCCACGACTTCGTCGGCTCATCCAGCGTGGCGCCGTCGGCTACGCGAACAGCGAGCTCAAGCACGCGTACTGCCACGAGTCGCCGCTGCAGGAGGATGAGCGCCCTCGGAAAGGCAGCCCCAGACCAGGGCAGCCGGAGGCTCCAGCTTTAAACGCATTGCAGTTTAACACGAGCAGCACTGACCCTCGACGGGGAGATTGGTGGGGAAGGGGGTTGTGAGGTTCAATGTTCTGGGGTGGGGTTGGAAACTGGTTCACATACGTAGGCAACTCGACTATAACATATAAGTAAACAAATCGTTGAAAATTGATGTTTCCGCCTGCCCGACCAGTCGCTGCAGCATTCAAGACCGAAGCCAGTCGTTTCGAGATGGCCCAGCGTTCAACTGGCCAGCCAGTGAATTGCGCCAGCCTTACATACAACTTAGACGGTAACAGCCTAGCTACTGGGTGAGTGGGCGTTCGAGCGATGAGGTTGGGAGGCCTGGTCGGAGGAGGTATGCGATAGTGGACAGCCCTACTCGAGGGCCGACCGCCAGCCAGGCACACGTGGGCTGCACTGACCCTCGCCGAGGGCCTTGCAGTGGGAGGGGGCTGGGTATGAGCAAGTGTGGGGAGGGGGGCTACCCTGCCGACGCCTGCAAATCTAACATGATATGCCTTCGCGGGCTCTCCACTTTCCCGCTCCTTTTCGCACCTCCTGCACAGCTTCGTCTGCACTCAGGCGGTTTGTACCGTTGCTCTTGCCACCAGGAGAACGCTACAGACTTTGCACCTAGAGTCCGCTCAACGCAAAAAGGATGAAGACTGGAAGGAGAGAGTGGAAATGGTGACTTCGAATAACGAGGGCGGGGGAGAAGAAAGGACAAAGGATCAAGGACAAATACGGTCGGGAACGACTCCAATCAAGCAAAGAAAGAATACTGGGCCTGTAGAGCATCTAGGTTTCTGCGCGGTTATATGATCGCAGGCCTCGTGAGAGAACCTGCTCAAGAGGACCTCGATGGCCTAAAGGACCAAGGCGGGGAATAAGACAGATTACAACCACTTCGGACTGTTCAGGAACTACTTCGGTCGGATTACAGCCACTGGAAACGGACTGATCGCAACCTGCAGGATTCCTATATAAACATTTCTGAAGAACACCGGATTGCAACCGATCCAAGAGCTTCTGCAGAGCTTCTGCGAAGCTCTCAGCGAGGCCTCTGAGAGGCCTCAGCGAGGCCTTTCAGAGGCTTCTCTGAAGCCTTTTAAGATGCTTCTCTGAAGCCTTTCCGAGGCTTCTCTGAAGCCTTTCAGAGGCTTCTCTGAAGCCTTTCAGAGGCTTCAGAGGCTTCTCTTAAGCCTTTCAGCGGCTTCTCTTAAGCCTTTCAGAGGTTTCTCGCAAGCCTTTCAGAGGCTTCTCGCAAGCCTTTCAGAGGCTTCTCGCAAGCCTTTCAGAGGCTTCTCTGAGGCTTCTCGGGCTCTGGGGACCCTCACCGGGCCCAGGGGCCGTCCAAAAGTGACTCAGTATGCAATGCTGGTCTGCTGTAGGCACGCCGGCGACGTTGGCGAAGGCGTCAAGGCTGCATTCTGCGACGCGGAAGCACCGAGGGACACGGTGGGGCCACTGTACCCGACGAAATTCAACCTTGAACGATCGGGGCCGTGATCGATTCAAGGTTGAAAGATCGACGCGGTGCCAAAAGCCTTGTGAGAGCCGACGCCGCACGAACCTACAGTAGGGGAATTCGTCCAGACCTCTTGGGGTCGACATTCCGGAAACATCATGACGTTGGGGGTCTGGGCCGCCGCGTGTACCCGCCTTGCCATCCCGTCCTCCTTTTCCTCCTCCTCCTCATCCTCCTCCTCCTCCTCCTCCTCCTCCTCCTGCTCCTCCTGCTCCTGCCCTTCCTCCCTCCCATCCTCCTTCGCCCTTCCTCCTCCCTCCCATCCTCCTCCTCCTCCTATTCCTCCTCCTTCTCCTCCCCCTCCTGAGATGCAAGTTGTTTCACACTGGGCGTTTTCGCTGTTTCGGTTTCAATCGTATACGAATCCCTCAGGACTCGTATACGGATCATGGCCACGTTCGAGCTCAAGTACATGTGTTGAGCTGAGATCGTGCTCGGCCGTCGGTGATCGGACCGATCGCAACCGCTTTTACAGATTCCCATTGGGCGGCTTAAGGGAGCTCATTGCACCCAGAAGCGCTCTCATGATCTCGTCCTTAATCGAAACCTCATTAAAACGACCCAAAAACATCGCAACCACTTCGAACCGATCGCAACTGGGTGCGATCGGTCAGAAGTGGTTGACGATCGGTCCGAAGTGGTTGCGATCGGTCGTGCTCGCGACCAAGGCGATCTAGGGCTCCACTAGCATCAGGTCGGGCATGTCCCCCTACAGGCAGATTTTGGACGAAAAATAAGAAAGAGGCAAACAACGACTCCAAAATTGTAGAAAGAAAACATGGAAAAATCGTCCCCCGACTAGTTTCTTACTATTTGGGAGCATTCCTCCTGTCGAGGGACAGGCCCGACTTAACACTAGCAGGGACATTCCCTGTCCAGGAGGAGCGCCAGCAGGAGGAGGGGCCACGCCCCCCACGCACCCCAGCGGCCTCGGGAGGCCTCTTGAGGTCCCAAGAGGTCTCCCCGGGAGACCCTCGGATGCCTCGCGAGGCTTCGAGTGATCCCCGATGACCACAAAAAAGCAAATGCACCTGACGCGACCCCAATCAGGGGAACGCCTCCAGAGCGGCAGTGCTTGGCTTTGCCTGACATTGCTCGGCAGTGCTTGGCACTGGCTTTGCTTGGCATTGCACTGCACTGCGTTGCGTGGAGTTGCGTTCCATTGCTTGGCATTGCCTGGCATCGCTTGGCATCGCTAGCGTTGCCTGCTTTGATTTGCTTGACGCTGCTTTGCATTACATTGAATTGGCATGAATTTGCATTGTCTCGCATTGCCTGGCGTTGTTTGGCAATGCTTGGCATTGCTTGGCATTGCTTGGCGCAGCACACTGCTTGGCGCTGCGTTCCATTGCTTGGCACTGCCTGGCTATCCTTGGCATCGCTCGGCACCGCTAGGCATGACTCGGCATTGCTCGGCATTGCTGAGCATCGCCTGGCAGACCCGAGGAACGCCACCTCAAAAAAGAGAAACGGCACAAGACAGAGACCTTGGGAGTCCCGAAGCGGTGCGGTGACAGACCGTGCGGTGACCTCGAGATCCCCCAAGACCTCACCGCATGGTCCGTCACCGCACGGTCTTGGGACCTCGGAGGCCCCTGTCGCCCGAGACGTCCTCGGAGAACGACCCGAGTCCCAAAACCGTGCGGTGACCCCGAATCCCCACCGACTCACCGCACGGTGTGGTCACCGCACTGTTTTGGGGGCCCCCGAAGAACCCCAAGGAGCCCGAGGAAGGCCGGCCCTTCACGACCAGCACGGAGACAAGACCACCAAGGAGCCCTTGGAACGCACGGGAAGCCCCGGGAGAGCGCTATAGCAGGCGCAGGCCGCGCACCAACCGGTGGTTCCAGAGCAAGCGAGAATCCCGCAGGCAGGCCTGCCTGGGGAAAACGCAGGATCCTCCCTCCCTCCCTCCCCGCCTCCCTTCCCCCCCCTCCTCCTCATCTGACTACCTACCAGACCACCCCAACCTAGCCCCAGGACCTGGACTTCGGGTGGGGGGGGGTACGGTTTCCGCGCGTGCTTTTTCAGAGTTCCCCGGCACCCCTGCCACTTGGGAATGGAGGGCAAAGTGGGGCCTTCGGGTTGGTTTGGGGTGGTTTGGTGGGTGGTGTTTCCCTGCCTCCCATTTCCCCCACTTCGGTGGCAACACATGGGAGCCTCCCATACCATCTTGTCGGCTCTTGCGAATGGACACTAATCGACGCTAGATCGACGCTAATCGACGCTAAATCGACGCTAACCGACTCCAGAGCGTCACTGCCTCATCGACCTCCAGACGCTCATCGACGCTCATCGACGCTAAAGACGGGATCAGAAGGATACGCAAGGCTCCCATGCTTTGAAACCGAACCCTCCTCCTCGAGAGGGACGAGAAGGGGAAGCAGGGAGGAGGAGTAGGAGGAGGAGGAGGGAGGAGGAGGGAGGAGGAGGAGGAGGAGGAGGAGGAAGGAGGGAGGAGGAGGAGGAGGAGGAGGAGGAGGAGGAGGAGGAGGAGGAGGGAGGAGAAGGAGGGAGGAGGATTTCATCGCCCTCTTGAGCCTGCGACCAGTCGAAGGTCTCGGAGTCCCTCACCATGGTGAGGTCGAGCGTCAGAGCGTCCACCCGCTGCTTCTTCGCGGCGGGAAGCTTCAGGCCCTCGTGTGCGGTCGCGGTTTTGTTTTTTTCTCTGCGGATAGCGAACAGCTCTGGCGGGTCAGACACGGGGAGGAGCAGGAGCAAGGCAGCAACGCAGCTAACTGACGAAGGGGCAGAGGAGGAGCAACGGCAGCAGGAGGAGCGGGAGGGAAGCAGAGAGAGAGGGGCCTCGGTCGCAGAAGTCGTGCGATGTGGACGTCGGGCTCCTGAGAGCATGACGAGTCGGCTCTTCGGACTATACGACGGCTGCTGGGCCGGAGGCAACAGAGGGGGCAGCAAGAACTGAATGGCTCTGCCATCGTGGCGAACTCGACGACAGAGACTCGTAGGACCACCGTCCAGGTCCCAGGTCTGCCTGGCGGATTCACGGTGAGAGCAGCATCGTCCTGGCGGCTGCGACTGTGGCGCGACGGGCGCGCATGCAAGGACCCGCGGGACCGACAAGGGGCCCCGCACAATGGCCAATTGCTCAGACTCGGGGATACCGACGGGGCAGGGAGGGAGAGAGGCGACAGAGATAGGGAGGGAGGGAGGGGGGATCAACACGATGCATGAGGCCTTCGGGGCAAGCAGAAGCACACAAAATCGTGGAACTTGCGCGGACAAGCTCACCGATCGCTACACACCCAGAGATCCGGTGTCGTGATTTTTTCAATACGGGGTCCATGGAAGTCTCGACCCATTCCCCGGGACCGGTTCTTCATCCTGAGTCGTTTTTTGACAGTCCTGGGGCCCGGCGAGGGCCCCTAAAGGCCGAAAACTGAGAAAAACCTCGGTCTTGTAATTTTTTTAAGTTCGATCTCTGGGCATGTCCAGTCGCCGTGCACACGCAATTACTGGAATATATGTGGCTGAAGTCGGATGCCTGGCGGCTCTCGCCGAACGGCTGCGTGGCGAAGGTCAGTATCACGCGCTCGCAGTCGGCGTAGAGCGTGCGGGCACGCTCGTTGTTGATGACGCAGAAGCCCTCGGCGGCGCCACTGTCGCGGGGCAAGGGCGGCGGGGACGGAGGCGGAGGAGGAGAGCAGGAACGAGGGAGGAGCGGGCAGGGGAAGCGGGGAAAGAAGAAGGAGGATGAGGAGAGGGAGGAAGAGGAGGAGGAGGGTGAGGAAGAGGAGAGAGGAAGATGAGGAACAACAAGACACGGAGGAGGCGATGGAAGAGGACGACGAACGCTCAGCTGAAAAATTGGCCCGACGATTCGACACTGCCCAACCGCCGCAGACGAGGGCACCTCTCCTCCGACGCCTGCGCATCGTGCGCCCCTCGCAGCAGCGGAGCTCCTCGGATCACGGGCGGCTGCATAAAAAAGCTGGCTGCAGCCGGTCCTCTCGGAAAGTGTCTCCTCCCGCGGGCTCGTGCAGGCCGGGACGCGGCCTCGCTGTGCAGTGGCCGCCGATTGCAGAGGTCCGCGAGGCCTCGCCCACCGCGCTGTGGAAGCAAGCTGCTCCCGCGGCAGGGCTGGAGGCGGACGGGGTGCTCAGCGTGCTTGCGGTACTCGCCGGCCCAATAGGCCGAAAGGCGTGCTGAGTCCTCCTCCTCCTCCTCCTCCTCCTCCTCCTCCTCCTCC